TTTCAATATGACTGACTACATCAATCTTCCTAATTCCAAGATGACTGACTATACCAATCTCCCTAATTTCAAGATGACTCACTGACTCCAACATACAATATAACCAGTACTTATTGTCCACGCAGGTTGGGGAACCACCGAGACAGGAACTACCACGACAGAGTTACGTAAGTTGCCGTATGAGGTAGTTTCAGATGCAACATGCAAGGAGAACTATGGTTCTGCAATATTACCAGGCATGTTGTGCACTGGCAAAGCTCCTATGACCGTGAAACATGCTGCTGGAGGAGATTCTGGTAAGTTAAAGTAGAACGTGTATAAAACCGGTATTTTCGAGACGCGTAAGTAAAACTTGTATAAAACCGGTATTTTCGAGAAGCGTTTCATTGAAACATTGAGCCCCTGACAATTTTGAATCTTTAGAATTTTACTATATACGAACGACTATAATTGGCAGGAGGTCCTCTCTTCAAGAAGACGGGAGTGGATGAGTTTGTGCAGCTGGCGTTGGTTAGCTGGGGGCCCGGAGCTGGTGAACAGACAGAGAAATCGTGGGACATTAACACTGACGTCCTCTACTACAAAAACTGGATAACAACCAACATGGCGGCGTAAGTGCACTACTCAACAATAAGGGTTTAAGTTGAGTATATAGTTGTGGGTATACTTTAAGTTCCAAAAAATGGCATACTTAATTGACAATCTATACTCAGGCAAATGAGCGACTCGCAAATAGACAGTGATTACTCATCAGTATTTACTTTATAACATGTCTTACGTTACGGTACATAAATGACCCCTATAACTCCACTGCCAATGAATTGTTTTAGATCATTTTACTAGCTGTTGTTACTGTCAGTGTCACCAAATTTTAGGCAACAATAGCATTAGACCAATATTATACCAATATTGGCAATCAGCTGGTTACAGTTAGGTCCGGCTCACTAATAGACATCCTTGAACTTTAAGTAACTTTACTTTAACAACGTAACTAACTGACGGCCACACCACAAATTTAGTAGACACAACCATATTATATTATATCAGGATAGATTCTGACTACGATACTATGGTGTACGCGGAAGACTCGACCAAATTCCTCTCATTCGAGAACATTCGAAACTATCTGTACAAAACTGTTTCAATCCTTCCCACAACCTCTACCAAATACACAACCATAAGTAACTTATTATCAATTGTTTTACCGTAAAAGTCTCGAATTTTCAAAATACAGTCATTTTTCAGGCAACCATCTACGCTCACACCAAGATATCCCAGCCTTCAAGTCGGGAAAAATGGGAGCAAATGACCTGGTTTTGGTGTACGATGGGAACAATGTAGCAGTAGACAAACAACTTGCTCAACTGACAGGAACAATCACAGAACAAACTTTCACTGCAACCACGAACAAGGTTATATAGGTTATATAGTGACCAGACTCCCCCGCTAATTGTAATCTTATTCTCGGTTCTATATTGTGGTTATACTGAGGAGGCTCCGCAACCCTTCGTAAAATTAAGGATAATCATGAAAAATAGTCTACGCTGAAAGCTTACATTCAGCCGAACCAGCATGGTGACTGCGACACGAAAATTAACGTAATAACTCGGCTAACTGAATATTTCAACCTTGCAGGCGTATTAAATATTGACATTTTAAGTATAATAACGATATCTAATTAAAGCAACGTCGCAGGGATTGACGGTGGCTATAATGACAGATCTAAGTGGCATTTCTGAGGGATTCTCTTTTGATTTTAAACAAACATCTACCAAAGGAGGCTCCAACGATTTAGTCTGTCCAAGTGGGTAGGTAAACAAACAAATTATGCAAATTATTCCTCATTTTAATTATGCAGGATGATGAGCTACTACGTCAATGAATATCAGAATATGATCAATCTAACAAATTGAGACATAGCATGACGCAAATGCGATATCTTATTTATTTAATTATAGATCAAATATTCAGACCCACCCTAATAATGGATTAATAACCTGTTTTCAGGTACAAAGCGTGCAGTGACAAGTATTACTGCCTCAAATTCGATTTATTCTGCGATAGTGAAGACGGTTATGGGCAATGTGAGTTTTTATCAAGATTATATCTATTGGATTATATCACTGCACTTTTATGTGGGACAATTATTTCCGGACCGTTTAACTTTAGAGCCGGCAATTGAGGGGACTCCAGACAGTTCAATTTATTTCATGAAAATTTTGTGAAGTGAAGTTCAAGTCGAACGATCAAAAGCTTGTGAAGAAGTGAGCACAAAAATGTCATACATTTTCTATAAATTTGCTATGAAGTGGTTGAACTACTACATATATATTATAATTATATATATATATAGTATATACAGGCAATTCAGAATATTTGAATAATACCAACAGTGCTATATATATATATTATATATATTTATAACAAATGAATCGAGGAAATGGATATGCTGAGACTTCCTACTTGTTTCAATACCATAAAAATAATTTCTGAACTATCATATTCATCATGGTACATTGTAAAATGCGACCAATAAGTAAAGTTCTGATCCAGGAACTTCATCTTTGCTCAATGTCATGTTTTGTTTCTTGGTACATAATGGTTGATCGATAGGAGAGCTTTCATAGAACAATGAACACTTTATATTTATTCTAATTTCTGGACAAGTTAGAATTAGACATAATGTTCAAATTTATTTCAAATTCAGAAATTAACCCATCAGCTTCTATTAATCAAACCCCAGAATCACTGTCAAGTTTTAAATAATATGCTCCATCCCCCATCGAAATCCACATCTATTAACAAGGGCTATCAACTTCTCACTCGAATATGTAAAGCAGTGTGGTATGCATGGTGGTGGAGAATACGAAAATTGTGTATTATATTGATGTAAACGAAGTGTTTTTTTAGGGCAGTTGCTATTGCCCTCATAACCTTGAACTACTTTCTTCTTATTTAGGAGGATCTAATCAACAGTAAATGAGCTGAGCTGAAATTAGCCTAAAAGTCCAACCTTTGAGCAGTGATCAGTTGAATGACACTTTAGCAGGAAAATGTTAATAAGCTCAATCCATGAGAAATACTCTTCGTATGATGTGATATACAATTTCTGAAGTTAACTTCGGTAAAAAAATAATTCGACGGTTTGGGAATATCCAAAAATTCTAAAATTTCATGAATTTCCATTTATTAGCAATTATTGAGTTTAAAATTGGCACTTCTCGGGCTCGACCTTTTAGCATTAGTTTATAGCCTTTCGAAGAACAATTTTCTCAATGACTAACAGAACCAACTAGTAGTAGTGTTTAAGGGGACATACACCAAAAGCTTTTGGGGGGGGGGGGGGGGCAACCATATTAAAGTATATTAAAATGTAGGATTTTTCCCGATTTTGACCCGGGGATATACTTTAATATACCTACAATATACCTACAATATACTTAATATATCCCTATCCAATATACTTAATATATCCCTATCCTTGGAGGCCTACATCAAAAATTGTTGCCCAAAATAAGCTTGAAATGCAATTCTTAATCGATTCCAAAAAGTTCTTGAAAAAATATTGAAAACTGATGGAGTTATTTCAATTTTAATGAAGTCATTTTGACTAGTATTCCGAACCGAGATATTATACATGCAATTTTCCCAATTTTGTTCATGGAGGTCTTTTTACTTAGTATCCACTATATTCAACAAACACTGAGTTATATCTTTCACATAGAGTTAGTCTCATTAAAAAATATTGAAATTTTATCGAATTTGGGCAAAAGCGTATGCCCAAATATGGGCATATTTTTTAAAGCTCATAGCTCAGCCAATTTTTGACCAATCTGGATGGAAATTCATGTACTAGTCCTAAAACAGGCTTATCTTGCGAATCTGAGTGAAAAATATAGTTCATCATGTAAATCTTTACGAAGAATATAAATCTTCTTATTGTAGGTATATTAAAGTATATTAAAATGTAAGATTTTTTCCGATTTTGACCCGGGGATATACTTTAATATACTTTAATATGGTTGGCCCCCCCCCCCCAGCTTTTATGCCCTGGCCCTGCTGTTAACTTCATATTAAGAAAGTATACATCAAAACAATAAGATTTGATACATTACAAATTATTTTTGAGAGCACGCACTTTCGAAAAAGAAAATATATATTTTTTCCCGATGTAGTATTTCCCGATTTCCGGTAACCTTCTTGAATTTGTTCTAAATACACCAACGAACTGCAGGTAGGGACGGAAGTGATGAAGTTAAGGCAAATTGTAAAAGTGACGATAACAACAACAACAATAACGACAAGGACAAGGACGAAGACAAGGACGAAGACAAAGACAAAGACAACGGTAACGGAGCGGAAGCTGTGATAAAATCTGGAATACTGGTGATATTGGTGACATCAATTCTGATTATTGGTTAAAACTTTAACTGTTGAGGCTTTGGACTTCGGAGGAGTGGGTTGGTCATTCTTTAATCACAAGTTAAAAGTAAAAGACACATAGCCATATGTTACCAAAGCTAAAGGCAGAAGAAAGTTTACGAACAAAAGCGAACGAATTTTTATCTCACAGTCCCACGACTGGTAATAATGCACACCAATGATCGTAATAGTATCATCATTTATCATTTCAAACAGATCCTTAATTATCTTTTACTACCTACAATTATACCCATAGTGTATTAAGGAAAACATTTAATCTTAAAAAGTATTACCTGAGGACCCCAGGCTATTATGTTCATTAACATAACCGAATATAGATTTGGCGGAATGACAGGCTGAGCGCGGCCCAGTAAAAAAAGTATAATAAAAAATGGGGATGGGGATGGGGCGACAACGAATCATACTTGTAAGTCGTAGGGGGCGCGACACACTGTGCCCCTGTGCGCCTTCGATTACAAATCACAACTTCACTATCACATTGACGAAACGGAAAAGGTCAATCATTTGATAACCTACACAAAGTACACACGAGAAGCAAGGTAGTGCATGGTACGAACCTGGAAACTCGGGCGATGTGTCTATATCATAGGTAGGAGTCTGCACGGCACTCGAACTGCGTCTCCCACTTGGAGTCTCATACGCCGAGTACCGTTCCTGAAGCGGTGAGTCGCTTTCCTCTCTGTTGAGCCGCTTCGAGAGTAACCCAAACATTTAAATATTGTCGCGACTGCCGCACAGGGTCGTCAACTAAAGGAGAAGGGGTAGGTTATATTTAAGTGAATGGGGATTAGTCATTCTGGCAGGGGTTCTAGGACAATGGAACAGAGTTACAGAGTTACAGACCACTCCGCGTCAACCAACTCCGCCGTCAAAATTTAAATTGATCGTTGTAATTTTAACGATGATTAAATATACCATTTGATGCACATATTTTAATATGTTATGGTAAAAAGTAAATGATTAATGACGGCGCATAATCGTCCAGTATGCAGTTTTACTTGCGCGGTACCAAATGAAGAAACTAATTTTTCTTAGGTCAAATGAATTACCAACAAAGTGTTACAATCTTAAATATATCAAATCAATTTTAAAATAATAACCCACGGAATAAATAGTTATTACAAATATATCAAAGTATCAAAGTAAGTATCGGTCCCACTAAATCACTCGCAATGGATTTTTAATTTTTAAAGAAGGGCTCTGATCATGTAAATGTAGTTCTATAGATTTATTTGTCGATGCTGATACCGAAACCGGAAACACCCCATGTATGACATATGGTTAAAACGCTTCCCGAAGAGTTATTAGCAAAAAACTGTTTTGGTCACGTGACAGGCTAGTGAAACACGAATTCGATTGTTTAGGGTTCGGGTTGTGGCATGTGTTAATGTTATAATTAGTGTTTCGGTGAAACCATTTCTTTCGGTTACAAAGAGGTAAAAACCCAAGTCACGTGCGCTGGCGAGTGAATTAGTAAAAGCCAGTAAGTGTATACTCAAGTTGGTAATACTGCAAGGAATTTGATGGCAGTTACGGCATACAGCAGAATAGTGACTATTGCTCGATAATAAGCAGCAAAAGGCGCCACCAGCCTCCAAGATTCGAATGCGAAGCTGAGATTGCTAAAACTAACTAAAGGTAAGGTTAAAACTTAACAAGCACGAACAATGAGCAGGGAAAACAGCGATACAAATTCTGAAAATGGTCTAAGCGTGTGTTTTGTGATTGATCCTCGCCCGAACCGGAGGATCACTAAGCGAACCTGCCTGGGCAAGTGGGCACATGGAGATGAGAATCTACATGAGTAGCACTAGCTGGATATGAGAACCAGCCAGCTGACTCTGTAAGCACTAGCTGACTCTGTAACATTGTAATTTGTTACAACTACAAGGTAGTCGGCGGTATTTCACTACCGCTCATCAAAACCTTCGAGTTAATTATTTAATCTCATCCTCTGCAACAGCTAATTGTTACGAATCAAGTAACAATTAGTAAGGTTCGGACCAGCCAGTCTGGTGGGCGGAACAGGACAGGCAGTAGCACTCGGTAATTCGAATAACTAAAGGTTCCTTAATGAAACATTTCCGCTGAAATTTAAATATGAGTCATGAGATGCATAATTTCAGATATATGCTCATTTGAGGTTGGGCAACAAGAATGCCAAGAGGAGATGTTCCAAGCAAAAGACAAGTTTAAAAAGTGTTATACAGTTGTTAGAGACTATAATGTAAATGTTAAATTAACATAACATGTGGCAACTCTGTCCATTCAACATAATTTCATGGTCAGGTGATATTCTGAAAATAGTGAAACAAAATGATTATCTCATGGGAAACAAAGGAATTCAGACAGCAGCACTCGTAATAGAGGTTTTAACCGAAAATGATGATGCCAGAATTTGTGAAAACAAAACGCCGTCCGACTTTTAAAAAAGTCAACACTCTTATCTATTTAAAACAACAATTAAATAATTACACTATAAGCTTGGCATTGTCTTGCACTTCCGGGCAGATTAAGCACTGGACAGCAAATAAATTTCAGACCAGAATAATAGGCCAAGACACTAAGGACTGTTAAATTATCTCCAATGGCAGGCAATAATAACAAATTATTGAGTATTTCTATGAGGATTGGACCACAACAACCGTATTTATAACCAGGCAAAGCGGCAGAGATCAGGAGAACGACCAGCCTGTAGAATCATTGAGGCGTCACGCAGACGGCTAAAATGTACGCTATATAGACGTGTATCATACATAAGATGTTAATGACGAAAATTAATATAAATAGCGGCGAATGCAAATTTACAGAAGTGGTCGGAGCTGGATTTTCAAAACTAATTTAGTTTTCAAGTCTGAGAAGTGAGAGACTTATATGCATTGTGAAGTGGGTGTGGGCGAGTCATGAACATGAGTAACATGTTTTGAGCTTTAATATTATTAATAATAGGTCACATACAAAGTGTACTTCAGGCCTAAATTTTATAAAAGTTAGAGACAGAATTTATATAAAGACAAAGTTTGCATGAATATAAATTTTGTCTCATTTGAAATTAAGCAACTTCACCAATTTATTCAGATTGAATCTATGAGAATAGCGTCCAATCCATAACCCAGCATTGACGGTGGACAGTACGCTAGAAACGGGAATACTCAATGGCGAAACACGGCACGGCGGAACTCTTCAAAGGATGGACAACACGGCGAAATCACATGACATTCACATTACCGTGGACAGTACTACTACAACGGTACCAATAACCAGACGCATAACCAATATGTTAAACGTGATGTTAGTGTTGCCAATTATGCCCAATTATATAATTTGACCTATTGACTCCTTTAGACAGATCTGGTTTATGAATTCATCACGTCATTTTCATTTGATACAATTAAAATGTATTTTTGATATTAATCAGTGCTTTCTATCAATCGTATACTGTGTTTTATAATAGGTTATAATGAGTCTGTTTCCAGTATCCAAAGTAATGTGAGTGTGTACTTCCGCCGAGCTGTCCCCTCCTTGGGGGGAAACTCCTCCATAGTGTCCTATACCTTTTTAATGAAATAAAAGACGTAGAAGGGTCAACTTTTCTTCAAGATCTGTTTCGGGTGATCTTATTCAAAGGTCTGGGTTAAGGGTCTAAGATAACTGTCAGGGTTCGTGTTACAGTATCAAATAACGATTAGGATATGTCACACAACGATTAGAATTGAGTCATGTGTCAAGTGAAATGGCAGTTTGTTTAATTTAGAGCTCAGCTGAGCTCTGAGCCAAAACAGACGGTAGAAACAAACAGCCGTGGGCTCACAACCGTCACACAACCCAAACCAGACTAGACAGTCTTTTCCCTAAACGGCTGTTTCAAGACATCTCCGACCATTTAGACGTTGGGTACCATGTGTAGATCCTATCTATTAAGTCATTAAACTCATTAAGATAATCCGGAGAAATGTAGGACTGAGTTAGAGTTAGAGATCAAAACAGAGACAAGCATTATTGGAAAGTAGCAGTGTGTGATGGGTTGGTTAAGTAACGATCAGCTGTAGTACCCACTTGTGTAATAAACGAGTTCATAATAGTGACGTGTATAGATAAGGGCACAATCATCTGCTCTAACAACAAAACTGTAAATATCAGAACTGAGCACGTAGTTAGATCTTAAAACTGACAATGATGGAGACAGTCTGGCTTACGGATTCAAGACTCTGGAATTAAGAGTAAAGAGTAAGATAATTGCGAGAGTATGCGTTATCCTTGTCAAACTAGGACTATTACCAGATCCATACCATCCCCGACTAAAGCTCACGTAGTTACGTTCGAGAGTAATAATCCAATAACCACGCTATAATAAGGGATAACGTGTAAACAGTCTGAGACCTGGACCGGGGAACGTTAAGTGAGAGAAACGGTCCCTGACCAGGCAAGGAACACATGTCACGCAGAACAAACGGCCAGTGAAACGGAGGAGAAGTCGCGTAATTTTGTCTGGATCTGGTCAAATCGTTTGATTTGTCCGTTGGGATGGTTCGTCTAATTGGGGAACAATTACGTTGAACAGTGTTTAACGCACGAGAAAAAAAAACAGAAGGTAGAAAAAAACAGCCGTGGGCTCACAACCGTCACACAACCCAAACCAGACTAGACAGTCTTTCCCCTAAACGACTGTTTCAAGACATATCTGACCATTTAGACGTTGGGTACCATGTGTAGATCCTATCTATTAAGTCATTAAACTCATTAAGATAATCCGGAGAAATGTAGGACTGAGTTAGAGTTAGAGATCAAAACAGAGACAAGCATTATTGGAAAGTAGCAGTGTGTGATGGGTTGGTTAAGTAACGATCAGCTGTAGTACCCACTTGTGTAATAAACGAGTTCATAATAGTGACGTGTATAGATAAGGGCACAATCATCTGCTCTAACTACAAAACTGTAAATATTAGAACTGAGCACGTAGTTAGATCTTAAAACTGACAATGATGGAGACAGTCTGGCGTACGGATTCAAGACTCTGGAGTTAAGAGTAAAGAGTAAGATAATTGCGAGAGTATGAGAGTATGCGTTATCCTTGTCAAACTAGGACCATTACCAGATCCATACCATCCCCGACTAAAGCTCACGTAGTTACGGTCGAGAGTAATAATCCAATAACCACGCTATAATAAGGGATAACGTGTAAACAGTCTGAGACCTGGACCGGGGAACGTTAAGTGAGAGAAACGGTCCCTGACCAGGCAAGGAACACATGTCACGCAGAACAAACGGCCAGTGAAACGGAGGAGAAGTCGCGTAATTTTGTCTGGATCTGGTCAAATCGTTTGATTTGTCCGTTGGGATGGTTCGTCTAATTGGGGAACAATTACGTTGAACAGTGTTTAGCGCACGAGACAGTATCATATCTTCACGTATCTCTCATGAGTAACATTTAGAGCCAAACATTTGTGTATTTCAAGGGTAAAATAAGAGAGCTCTCCAGTTATATAAAGTAACCAGTTATATGAACATATTTTATAGTTACTCTAGACGACAAGAGCGGATGATTTGCATAGGGTGGATGTGTAATGGTTTCATTGTTCGTCATAAAATGGGCTCATAAAATGGGAGGTCGTCAGTTCTGAAACTGGTCGCTACTCTGACAAGAAGGGTCAGTGTCACAGGTAAGTTTGAAGTGGATCTGTTTCCTTTTACTTCAAGTATCATTCTGTCACCTGTTTCGTGACATTTTAAATTTGGAAACGTGTCTTTTTTGTGAACTAGAGTTCGATATTTCTGTCCTTGCTTCCTTGGCGGGATTTACTCGTTCTTCAACCAAGCTGGAGTTTATGCTGAACTTTTCTTTTTCTCGAGGCGGTTTCTTCGGGGGAGTTGCCTCTTCCACTGGAATGTCCTCTTCTTTCTTCCTGCAAAAATAAGTACTCATGAAGTTTAACATACAAACCCACTCAGAGTTAAAAATCACAGTCGCAAATAATTTACAACTCTTAAAATTGGAATTTAAAAAACATACAACGCAGTTGTGTCAAAACTGGCAAAAGTAATAATTAAAGGTTAATCTGCCAGAAGTAAATAACAAAGGTTAATCTGTGTCACCAAATACCAACTAACCTCGATAGAAGACGGTGTAAATTCCCTGGATGGAGCAGGGAGTCATCGTGACAGGGAAGATTAGAAGAATGAGAGAAGAATATGGTTATGTCATCCTCTGATTCATCGTCAGCATCATCATTTGAGCCCACACTATCAGACCTCTTCTTAAGAATAGATTTAAGAGAAGTTGTTACTTTATCAATAACAATTGGAGCCTGGCTCCTGTTTTCAGTTACATTCCTTTTCTTCTCCTCTACGTCCTCTTCCGAAGAGGTTATTCCTAGGGATTGAAACTACATTGAGCAATGTTTATTAAACATGGGATATTTTAATGGAGAATATCCTCAAAAAGGGGATGGGATGAATCATGAATGGCAAGTGGCGATAACGCAATAACGCATCCCAATCTTATATTAGTACAATTTTGGAAGTTACCTTCAGTTTTGATATTGGAGAAAGCAGCCAGCTCTTCGGGACTAAAAGCAGGGCGAGGTTTGGGGACGTTTGGTTTAGGGACACGAGCATTGTTTCGGTTATCACCTGAAAATTCAATAGGATCAAATCAGATCCAGGAAGTTAAATTTTCTTACTTGACTAAATACTCAAACATCTGGCTCAAATCTAACCGTAATCTATGTATCCGAAATTCAGACGAAGAGAGAGAATACCTACTTCTTTTGATATCTTCCTCAGTAAGTTCTTCGACAATACCTTCCTCCAGTTCTGTTGTCATATCTAGTTTATTCTTGATATTATCAAGACACTTCTGATATCCTGATAGTTCCTTCACTATAGTTTCACGTCTCCTTTTCGCTATATCTATACCTGCAGATGGATAAAGTGAAAAATTGCTACAAGTCAACGTAGTAAATATATGGAGCAATTTCAAACTTTGATAATATCCAAGAAAGCTTTTGACAGCGTTTTCTGTAACTTTAAATGGGTATTTACAAACCTTGATTAACGGTTCTGTTGACAAACCAACTATCTCCCAGATACACCATCACTTCTCCAGTGTGTACCAGCTGAAAAAGAGCAACTGTTACTTGTGGGAAAATAATAGATAACAAACAGCCGGGGTAGGGAGTTGCAGCGGTGAGCAAAATCATATACCTCTATTTCTATCCTATTATATTTAATTTTTGGATTTTTTGAACGTTGCACGTGATTTGATACAAATTTAAAAGAAGACGACAAGGGTCCTGACGGGTACATAGATACATAGGGCTCTAGGTAATTTAAAAAAGGCCCGTTTCGTTAACACTTTATTAACACTTTAGGCCCAATTTATCGGAACAAGTTTGATGAATTTAAAAGAATGCCGCCCATATTAAAGAATTAACACCTATACCTTCACGAGAAGTTTTACTTCACCAGAACCATGGTTGCACTGTTCCATTAGTTCAGAAAATATACTCACCACGGTCAGCTTGTCTACAACGCACCGCTCGTTAAATCATACGGTTCGTATTTTCCAACCAAAATTACATCGAAGCGTTGATTTTTATCGTAGAGATTAAATTAAATTTCGCGGTCATTTCGAAGTTTTGATTCCGCAGAAGGACATTGAACTCCAGAATTTCTCATTAGTCAATTTGAACTTGACCGAACGTTCGCAGCGTTTAAGACCTTTGCGTTTGATGTGATCCGTTTTACAAGGTTCCGAGGATAAACCAGGATTGACTGTAGTTCATGAAATTTCGTACGATACAAGTCTCGTGGCGTCGTGCTTGTTATTCTAACATGCGCTCGTATAGTGCCCTTTAAGTTTAAAATTCTTTTGAAGAAAGGTATGGGTATGTGACTTAATTAACCATAGTCCGTAGTAATTATGATAAATCAGGAAACTAGACTTGCATTATAAGTGTTGAAGTGGCCATTACCATTTACCAGCGTGGACTGTGTACCTGTCATGTGTACTGTGTACGTGGTGAAAATAATTGTTTATCAGATTCGAAGAATCTGGTAATTCTGAGTATATTTTCATTGATAATGTTTCAATGGACATCTCTAGTAAATGTGACATTAAACCATAGAATTAATGTAACAGGTCAGTGTTGACCATTGAGCTAGCATCACTGTAACTGTAAGCGTTGTGTATCTTTTGACTAGATTAGTCCTTGTGAAGTAGTCTTCAAGTCCCCACTTTTGAGCTTCTCTTGTTTCTTCTAATTTAGAAACCACTATCTATCTATTTAGAAACTATCTTTTGTTCTGTATCTTATTATTTAGAAACCATCATCTTTCGTTCTCTATATTTGTTCTGATCATTAATTTCAGCAGCAATTTTAGTTTCAGACGATTTATGGTTTGCGATTCCGGAAGGCTTCTGTTTTGTTGATAATACTAATAGTATATTTATTGTTGAATCATCCATAAAGCTCTGAAATTAAATTCCCGAAGTCCCCACACTTCACTCAACCACCTACGCTTGTACTTTGTAGGACTGAATTGTCATGGAAAATTAAGGGCAACAAATCCCTTTTTTTTTACTTGTTTTAAAATAAATATTTGTGTGGTATGCGTAAGTAAATAATATATCCTTTTCGCAATACAAATTCAGTGAAACTCAAAAGTCGTGATTGGCCTCAATTTCCACTAACCAAACTAACAGTAACGTTACATAAATATATTATAATTTATATCTAACTGTCGATGAGTATATTAAATACAATTTAAGTCTGGAGGGTTGGTTTTAAAAGTGGAGCAGTTTACGAATAACGAATAAAAACATCCTAATCATACTAATTTCATCCTTCGTAAGACGATAAAACGAATTAACAAATCTGTACGAGGTCTATCAATGGACTATGTGTGAAGTTAATGTTCAATTTGCCAACTACTAATCGATTTTTAAGAATTCAGAATCAATGAGTTGATCAACATGTGCGTGAAGTTTGATCTTATATCAAAAGCTCTTCACATGACAATCCGTTGACGTCAAATTGTGAAATAGTGATCGTTTTTTGCGAACTTTACTAATGACCAGGCTCTCAAACAGCCATTCCAATATTTTTTCTTCTAAGTTACTTACTTCGTTACTTCGTTACTTCGTTGAGTTCATCCGTGGAGCCGGAAGGGTCATCAGATATCTGACCACCTGGATGGCGAGTAGTCGACCAGTGAGTTTGACCAACTGCAGCTGTAGCCGGCGACCGGAGGGTTGTCCGGTATCAAAGCAAGAAAGTTCGACAAACTACACTTAAACATGTCAAAGGATGAATCAGCCTTTACTGTGTGAGGCACTTTGTTCCACAGCTTCGGTCCTTGAACTGCAAAAGACCTGTCGTACAGTGACTGGTTGCGTAAGGAACTTGACTTTGACAATGAGGGTATGACAGCTACATCCCCGTGTCTTGGGGTCACCTTGAATTTGATATCACAGCAGTTTGGTACCACATTATGGAGAATCTTCCACATCATCAGGATGATATACCTCTCCCGTCTGCGCTGTAGAGATTTAAGCTGTACGAGTCTTTCCCAATAGTTGAGTAGTTGAAGACCGCCAATACGACTGGTGAAAGTTCTTTGCACCCCCTCTATCAGCTGTATTTCAGTCACCTTAGTAGGGCTCCAGAGTGGGCAGCAATACTCTAGTAAGCTTCTTACTAGTGACTTGTAGAGAGTAATCATTACGGTCTTGTCGCGAGTTTTGAACACACTGAATACCCAAGATAGTGTGCTCCTTGCTTTGGGTACCATGTTGCCGATGTGTGTCGACCAGCTAAGATCACTTGAAACCATAACTCCAAGATCTCGGACGTTTTCGACAGGATAAAGTATGTCCTGACTGGATACTTTGTAACGCAGTGTTTCGGCAAAGAAGGGTAGTTCGGGGAATGAGCTCTTACTGTTATGGAGGTGATTTAACAGCTCGAACTTCTGCTCGTGAAGCTTCATGTTGTTGCTACGTGACCAGTCAAGAATCTTATAGATATCTTCTTGTAACAACTGACAGTCTTCAAAACAGCCAATCTGTTTGGAGACTCTAGTATCATCGGCGAAAAAACTCACCCTAGATGAGTCCACTACTTGTTCTAGATCATTGATGAACAAGATAAAGAGAAGCGGCCCCAAAACGCTTCCCTGGGGAACACCACTTAAAACCTTTGCGATAACCGAGTGAACTCCATTAAGCACCACGACTTGTTCGCGATCAAAGAGAAAGGACTTTATCCACTCTATGAGCTTGCCATGAAACCCATATTTTCTCAGCTTGTGAATGAGAAGATTTAAGGGGACATATACAAAAAGCTTTTATGTCCCGAACAGGCTGTAACTTCATATTAAGAAAGTATACATTAAAACAATAAGATTTGATACATTCAAAATTATTTTTGAGGAACCGCACTTTCGAAAAAATAAATATTTTCTTTTTCGAAAATTTTGAAAATTTTGAGAAGTCTGTCACTGTTATACCGATATTTCAGTTGTTTTCGACGTTTTTTGGCTGATTTTTTTTTACTGAACATTACTTACACTCCGTACAAGAAGCCCTTCAAAGGATTTTATAATTAAAATATAGATGACGAAGTTACAAACCAAACAAGGTCGAGAGAAGCAAAATTGAAATTTTTGTAAAAATCAAAGTTGTATATTTTACCATTCACCCAGGTCGTAAGATATCGCTTTAAAAATTCTTGTGAGTGTAGCTGATAATCATATCCAACTTTGTGGAACAGGATTTCTCTCAGTTTTGAGTTTTAAGGTATGAAATGTGGCCTAAACGACTTAGTAAAATTCATCGTAAAAAAGGGCCAAACATGGCAGAATTAAGGCTTAAAATGCCTATAACTCAAAAAGTATCAGTTTTTTTAAAATAATTTTTACAGAATCGTAATCAGCTTGAGAAGACGAATCTTTTAGTACCAAATAGATGATTTTAGAAGACAAATTGTCTTAAATAATTTTCCAGCTCGAACACAAGGGTCCCCCCTTGTATAAATGTTGTACAAATTGTACACATTTTTTTACCAATTTTGTGTCTTTAACTATTATAAATTTGGTACTAAAAGATTCGTCTTACCAAGCTGATTACGATCCTGTAAAAATTATTTCAAAAAAACTGATACTTTTTGAGTTATAGGCATTTTAAGCCTTAAATCTGCCATGTTTGGCCCTTTTTTAAGATGAATTTTACTAAGTCGTTTAGGCCACATTTCATACCTTAAAACTCAAAACTGAGAGAAATCCTGTTCCACAAAGTTGGATATGATTATCAGCTACACTCACAAGAATTTTTAAAGCGATATCTTATGACCTGGGTGGATGGTAAAATATACAACTTTGATTTTTACAAAAATTTCAATTTTGCTTCTCTCGACCTTGTTTGGTTTGTAACTTCGTCATCTATATTTTAATTATAAAATCCTTTGAAGGGCTTCTTGTACGGAGTGTAAGTAATGTTCAGTAAAAAAAATCAGCCAAAAAACGTCGAAAACGACTGAAATATCGGTATAACAGTGACAGACTTCTCAAAATTTTCAAAATTTTCGAAAAAGAAAATATTTATTTTTTCGAAAGTGCGGTTCCTCAAAAATAATTTTGAATGTATCAAATCTTATTGTTTTAATGTATACTTTCTTAATATGAAGTTACAGCCTGTTCGGGACATAAAAGCTTTTTGTATATGTCCCCTTAAGTCGACTTTATCGAACGCCTTAGCGTAATCCAGATATATAGAATCTGTATCTTCACCACGAGTAAACCCTTCGTAGATGTCGTCAAAATGGCCGAGTGCTTGTCGTTTCATTTCATTTCCAATAGAAATAGACATCTTTTTAAAAACTTTACGCATCTGTCTACAAATCTTTTCATTTATCTGACCTTATTAGATATGATTTGTTTTTCGATCGATTTAAACTTCTGATACCCATTATCAATAAATAAACCGTTACAAATACATGTTGACCAGTTCTGAATCCTCATAGCATAGGATGTTAAGCCACCCCTTTAAAATAGCTGCTAAATTTGTAGGTCCAACCTATGCTATAGTGCAAACTTGGTTACATGTTCGACAGAGTTAAAAAGAAACGTATAACACAACTTGAGTAACAGATGAGTCCTCAAACTTACATGGCCGGGCATAAAAGCCTTTTTGCTGAGAGGTACCATTATCTCCATTTTGTGTTCAGAGCTCAGTTTCTCTAAAGTTGAGATCAGCTCCTTGTAATCCTGGTCACACCTGACAAGAAGTTTACTTTAAGGACTCCTAAGAGGTCAACATATTGTAATACCTTGACACACCTTTTAACTTTACGCTAAAAATATTGTTTTCATCATCTCCCGACACAGGGATCATTTGGACTTTGGTCACCAGCAGTGATGTGGTTAAGCTTCTCCGCAGCGGAAATAACATAATGGCGGGTGACCTCATTATATCAGAGCTAGATATATAAACACAATATTTGATTGTCTGAGGAATCTAATAAAACGAAATCATCGACTATCAAATTAAATTTCAACTAAATCATAGGTCAAGCAGCTGCAATAAGCTATAAAGTCTCACTTCTGCATGTGTTGAACTTTATCGTCCACCGACTCGAGGTTAAGTTGGTGAGCATTTCTCAGTTTGTCCGCTTGTAACATGTTAAGCTAGGTTCATGAGTTCAGGGTTAGAGAATTAAACGACATTATAGCTAGAACGAGGATAATATGTACGAGGGTAGAGGCGACTATCAGGTTCAGGGATCGTTCATGCATATAAATAATATTAAATATAAGAGTCTAACTTAGACTCCTCCCTCTATTCAAAATTTCGAACCGCCACTTAATCTGCTGACGTAACATGTAAACAGTTCATCAATAAATGTCAGGTTTTTAGCCAGAGTAACAATGTGCTAACCATTTCATTTGCATCAACATTTTGAAAGGCAGTGCCATGATATAAACATGAATACATTGCGTGTTATTGCAATGCCTCAAAGGTGTTACATTTAATTTAATTGGTAGAGTTGATAGCACCAACGTCATAAGAAGACGTGGAAGTACGCAACAATAATACATATTAAACAACAGTTTGATTGGTGACAGGGAAAGGGTCCTTTGATGATATTTGGGTGTATTTGCGGTACAACTGAATCCTGTAAGCCGTTGTTGTTGTTTGCTAAAAATTGTTAAGTTTATATTTGAACAGTCTCTTCCGCCGGACAAAATGTTTGATCTTCAATAAATTGAAATAAAACTCATTTGTTCTGATATGACAGTTGGTATGCTACATAGGTGATAGGATGGGCATAGGATTATATTTAATTGTCGCCAGTTCTTGCCTTCTCTTTATTTAAAGCAAAGTTTTCAATAGTTTCGTACGTGCTTAAACTATCCTTTTATCTTATTTTTCCGTGCATGATCATTAAAACATAGTTGTGTGATACTGTTATCCAAATCAAGCAAGTATTGTATTTGTTTTCATTTCATAGTATGTTTGAGTTGTATATTCCTCTGAGGAAGGGCTGAAATGATCGTCACATTGAATTGTACATTAGATTGGAAAACATAGCAGTAACTCATTGCTGACACGGGTAATTTGGTGTTTTTGTCGTGGCCAATATCGAAAAATGTATCGGATAAAATGGAAATAGTGACGATTTTCGAACAATTCACTTTCTAAATAAATGATTTGCATCGTTTAAATTTTTGTGCGATTTATGATTTTTAACTTGTTGGATCCAACACCACTTCAAAGTTAAAATTACAAGTGGCTTTTATGAAGCCAGGCCAAAATCTGAAATAACTAAATATTTTAAAGATTGCAGTAAAACTTCAGAAATGTAAACGAATCGACGGGGATTAAATCAATTATATCAAATTTAATCTTCTTAACATAAAAATAAATCAAAAGCATTGTGAGAGACATTTGCTTAATAAATATCAATCATGAGTCAAAGTCTTTTTTTATAAAAATCTACAAAATTGTAATTATAATCTGAAAACGCGTACTGATTGCTGAAATACTATGCTTAATCACGAAATGTTATGCTTAATTATGTATGTAACAACAATGTAGAACAATGATCTAAAATAGACCTAACAAAAATAACAATATAATAAAATCTAATCAACTAATTGAAAGACAAGTGCAGTCCTAGAAGGGAGATAAGTGCTTATGTAAAACTTACCGTCGTCAGTATATGAGAAATACCTCGTGCTCAAATCTATCCTATCATTACCTCCAAAGTGCTTGGAATCCGAGTTTAGAACCACTTTATACGTACCTGGAACCTTGACCTGTGTTCTGTAATCTGTGAAACTCTCCCAGTTGAGGTTAAAAGCAAAAGAGAGGTCTCCTCGCTCGAACACTATGACTTTGTCGGTCTCGTGTGTGAGGTAGATGTAACCGTACCCCGAATCTAACCACTTGTACTCTTGCTCAGTAGCAAGGATAGCTTTGTCAAACCTGTTTAGAAACTTGTATCTCAGTAACTCATCCTCCGCCAGATTGTACTGTCTTCTACAGTAATGGTAACTTTCACCGTTACCTTTTCGTGGAAAGTCCAGCCATTCAGGGTGCCCAAACTCGTTGCCCATGAAGGTAAGTACCCCCTCTCCGCCCAGCCCGAAAGTAAGTAGTCGTATCATCTTGTGAAGAGCGATACCTCTTTCAATTCGGGGCGTTTGCTCTGATGAACATGACATGTTTGTGTACATATCCTGATCCATCAGCCAGAACGCGATGGACTTGTCCCCAACCAAACACTGGTCGTGGCTCTCCGCATACGCAATGCTCTTCTCCTTGTATCTCCTGTTGTTGAGAGTTTGGACAATGTTACCCATGTTCCACTCCGCGTCAGTAGTACTGTCCTTCAGCAGCTTGATCCACAGATCCGGAGTGGACATGGCCAGCCGATAATCAAATCCCACCCCTCCCTCACTGACCGGCCGACAGAGCGCCGGGAACCCAGACACGTCCTCAGCTATCGTAATGATATCCGGATACTTGGAGTGGAGGTACTCATTAGCCAACATCATGTAGTTCACGGCACCGTGGTTTAGGTATTTGTTGTAGTACTCGTGGTAGTCACCACTGAAACAGTAGTTGACACCGTGGTGGTGATACAACATTGAGGTAACCCCGTCAAACCGAAACCCGTCAAACTTGTACTCAGAGACCCAGTACTCAAGGTTGGATAGCAGGAATCTCAGTGTTTCCGTGTTGGTGTAGTCGAATAGTCTGGAGTTCCACTGGTCGTGTACTCCTGCAGGACCGGAGAGAAAGTAGTGAGAATCTGAGCCATCAAATGAGTTCAGCCCGTCAGCTGTGTTTATTGAAGCGTGACTGTGTACCAGATCCAGGAGAACCAACATGCCGTATTTGTGGGCCGTGTCTATCAGGTACTTCAGCATATCTGGTGGACCGTACCTGCTGGAAGCAGCGAAAAACGACGTCACCTGAACGGAAATGATATTATAATAAGATAAGTCAACAATCCTCTTTTAGATGAATACCAATGCAATATAAAACATGCCAAGAAAAAATAATGTTCTGAAAGGTAAAACCAAAGATAAGACATTTAACAGACCTGGTAACCGAAGCTAGCGTAGTAAGCGTGCTCCATAACTGCCATCAGTTGAATAGTATTGTAGCCCAGCTTAGCAATCCTTGGAATCACCGTGTCTGCAAACTCAATGTAAGAAGAAACCTTGGGTTCAGGAGTACAAATACCCACATGGGCCTCGTAAATATACAGCGCTCGTGGAGTTTTTGGGGCCTTGTGGTTCCATTCGTACTCAGAGCTGGTTAAAAAGGTTTCGTTGTAATAAATCCTCTCTCCGTTTGTAACAAAGTTAGCCCAGGGACTGATCCGGTCAAATGTTTTACCCTCCATGTCCTCACAGAAATACCTCAGATCTGATCCTACAGGGATCCTACACTGTCCCACATCGTCAGGTAGGATAACCAGTTCCCAGATCCCAGATCCTACATTCTTCAGTTGGTACTCTGATCTGTTCCACTTGTTAAAGTCTCCAGCAAGGGAGACTTTAGCGAGGTTAGGAGCCCACTCTTTACACCTCACAGAGTTATCAGCCTGTATCCGTATCCCGTAATCCTCGTAAGATCTAGCAAATTCATCCAGGGAAGGAGAAGCGGAGAGGATCTGATCTCGAGTGGTTTGGTAGTTGGTGAACAGGGAGTCGAGATCAGACTTGAAGGGTTCCAGGTAGGGGTCTAGGGAGAGGAGGTCGGAGAGATTGGGGGCTGATTTCATTTGTATACCTACAATATTTAGGCGGTTTAGGAGTCAAATAACAGCTTTATCATAGATCAGGGTGAAACTATTATAAAACTGAAATATGCGATTTCTTTTGAAGCAAACAAGTGTGCACAATACATACTCCATGGCAATACAAGAGTGATGTACTTTGAAACAGACAAACAAACAAGTTATCTTGTAAGAAATAGAATAATGAAAATGTATATATTAAATAATCATTCCTCTCCAGATTACAGCATACAATAATACAATAGTATGCTGAGTAAATTATAAATAAACTAACACAAATAAGTAAATACATACCAAAATATTAAATAAAAATAAATAAATCCATAATTTTTGTATTCATTAAAATAAATATCCAGAATTCTTAAATTGTAGCGAATTAAATTTGAATCATGCATGAGAAATACCAACAATAAACTATGTATATTCAATTAAAATCGCACACAAAACTCTTCTTCATTATACATTCAATACAGTATCAATATTGAAAACGTGGGTCCAAATATTGAGCACAATGTTACGCAACCGCGTTTGACTTGTTGACCAGTCCCAGTTTTAGAAGTTGATGTAGGCCCAGCTGTTTGATCGCAATCTCGTTTAGGGTAAAGAATGTGACCAATTGTCCAACTGAAATTTATTTCGGTGTTAAGCTTTTAAACCAGTGTAAAACAATTCAGATTCGCGGGTAAGGAAACCGGAATCTAAAATTTCTAAATTTCCCGCAATATGCAATATAAGTTATATAAATTTATGAAAACTGACATAATTAAGATCTATAATAAGCCTAAAACTGTTAACATTAAATTTGTGATGAATATCATTATCATAAAACTGACTTGTATAAAATGTCTTGTAGCTGCCTTGTAGCCAGTACCCTTCCCCTTTCTCTATCTTGATGTGTGCAACAGGTCCCGCCAGCAGCCTGTAAGGTTATATTACGTCAGATAAATCCTTAAACTCTGCTGTCAATTAATGTATTTAATTAATTATTAAAGGATGAGGGGACCTTAGAAAAAGTTTTTTTCTCGTGCAAATCATATTATTACATTAATCGTAAAAACCACTTTAGTGAAATCCGCAAAGTTGTATTTCATTCGCGCGCCGAGATATCCAGCCAAAACAATTTGAACCTGTGACGTCAATTATGTGAGTTGCTCTGATCCGCGCATATAGAAATACAGGTAAAATGAGCGTGCGGGCTGACTAAATTACTAATTAAGAATACATAAACAATTTACAATACTAACAAGCCTATAACCAATGGAGAGGAGACTTTTTATGACCGGTTGAAAAAAGAATTATCACCCTACGATAACCATGAGCCGAGATACACCTGAAATAAGATTGAAGTCACACAGAAAGGCATGTAAATTATGTATATTTATAGCTCCCAACGTAACACCTAGCAACTCCTTGTATCGTACCACAGTTGATATATCAACATGTCATATCAACACAACACGGTCCTAATAAAAACGGATCGGGTAGGTATGAAATGCATGTCTTCATTCCAGTTGGACAAGCACCAAGCACCAAGCTTTTAAGTTCTAACTCACTATGTGACACTATTTATAACGTAAGCAAGATTTGCAACTATTACACCAAGCAATATTATACCAAGCATAGCAGACGAACACATCCACATTCGTTACGCTTTACACTCAAGTCACAGCAAACTAAAACGGTAAATTATAAATGAGTGTACAACTAAAGGCCGGTACACGCGCAGTGCCAAACCGCACGTGCGCACTCAGATAGGACTAGAGGCGCCAAGGGCCAGCTAGTAAAATGTATTCTACTACATCATACATTCAATCGATTTTTAGATCTTCTGTTGCGGCGCTTTGCTGTCTTAAAAGTTTGTTCATTTGAAAGCTTTTTCACTATAAATATAAAGAGTGTCTTTTGCGTCAATTTGCGACGAGTCTGTTTTAGAACTCATCGCATATTCTGTGAATCGGAAGGAGTTCCCGGAAAAGGATGATGTTGAGAAAAGGAACAGGCTATACCGTTTCGCTGCTTACAGAACATTCTTTGGGATACTGGAGCTGAACGGACTGGGTAAAGGACGGCGCTTCAGACTACCACAGTGTGTGGTGAGAGTTATCCGCAGAATGTACCCCAGCAAGTCAGGCAAATATGTCGGATTTAAATCACTAAACGAACAAGTTTCGGAAAAGCTAAACATATATTAAGTGGGTCGGTCAACATATCTTCTATTTCATATGTATTGTGCTCTGCCAATTGCAACACTTGATTTGATTGTGCTCTGCCGATTGCAACACTTGATTTAATATTGTTCGTCGCACATTTCATATGAAAATACATTCCTTTATTCTTGTATAAAGAAATATGCCGATTTTTAATTGTGTCCATATCGGGTTTCAAACAAGTCAAAACAAAATAGCAGTTTGTGGTTTAGTTAGCGGATGCTACTTATCTTAGCTATTTATAAATAGAAATACCTACTACAACTACAAGAAAGCCTTTCTGAGTTACATTTAACTATTAAAGAGAATTATTCGTAACTTAGACTAATTCAGTGCAACCAAAGATACCGCTCTCGCAAACGCCAAAGGTAACACGACGTAAGTAAAACAGAACAGGACAAAATGTTGACACGAGCGAAGGGTGTGCGCGCACGTTGGTCTTACACATAATTGACGTCACAGCCCAAAATTGCTATCAGCCAATAGGAGCGCGGCGTGATATTGCACGAATTATCGATTTCACAGTCCGGCGTATTTTTTGATTCTACACACTTTCACAGGACTTAAACGCGAATATTTGAAAGTAAATTCTAAGGTCCCCTCATCCTTTAATGTTCAGTGAACCTGTACTGAGTGTACCGTCGTTAGTTTCTTGCTCAGCGTTTCTTGAAAATTATTAACCCAATAAGCGGTCCATATCTGTTTCCCAAAGATGTCCTCTTGAGTCTTGAGCCTCCTGTACACTATTCTCACAAAACGCTTTCAGAGCTGGCGTAGGAATAACATAAAAAATGCCAAATAGTTAATAGCCGGTAAAAAACCGGTAATGCAGCTACCAGCCTAGTGACCAGCTAGGTAACCAGACTGGTAACTTAGAATCTGTTCCTAGGCACCACTGTGACCCGCAGTTTGGTAGCTGGGACGGCGATCCCCGCAAGGGAGTGAACCTCAAGTGCTCCGGACTAATGCCAATAAACCTGCCCGCCAAACGGTCACGTGACTGTACGAGTTGTTGGGACGAGATAGACATTGGTGGATTTTGCATTAAAACCACAAGCATACCTGCCCCACCTCCTGTCAAAGCCTCGTGCTACTCTGGTGAAAATGTTAATCGCTATGCGGAGGGTCTCGCCAACGGTTGCCATCACATACTGCTAGTTCTGATGTCATCATTATCGGTTTAGATTAAAATCAATTATACAAAATTACGTCAAAGTAAACAAATGGCATCCCAAAATTCTGACGAACAAACTGACGAGCAGTTGAGAGCTATTGAAGTATGGATGATTTCAGTATCTGGTGTCATAGCAAGAACGTGATACCAGGTTTATCGTTTAATTTCAGATGACCCACTTCCTTTGTTTGGCAATTCAGAAGAGACCGACGGTTTACCTTTAACCATTTGTATGAACCGATCTGATGAACCGACCTCAGGAATCCTGCTGTCATGTGAGAATTCTCTTCTTGAATGATCATAAAGAGATGGTCCGGTTGGGAGCACTTTTAAACGTTTTGGTTGACGAAATTCATTTAAGCAGTTTGCATCTAATGATTGATGATTTTTTCGCACCACCAGATTTTTGGAAGTTCAATATACATACAATGTTTCCCCATTTATTACATAGTTGGGGAAAACGCACTCCACGAACTTTTTAAAGGTGCCAAACTTTACCAATTTTAAAAAGCAATTTAATTACCGAACTTTTACTAAACTTTTCAACCACATTTAAATTTTCACAGCAGTTCACCTTTTTTATACAACGTATGTGCGGATCGAGATAGTTTCATTAGCGCAACTTAATATCTCAAACCGTGAAATTTAGATGCCGAACTAAAAAAAGGCCCGAATTCAGCGAACATTTATTTATTTTGCCCAAATTATTTTAAGATCCGTTTTTACGAGATTAAAGCTTTAAAAAACTACATTTCGCTGTTTCCAGCGTTCAGTCACACAATATTTTGACCGATGTGAACCCCATCCTAGATAAAATTCGGTTAGCAGCTTAAATACCACTAGACACAACATTCCTATAAGAAAACATTTGGCGGACGTGATCAATTGATGAGCAGATGAGTGGTATCATGGAATAAATACAAGATAGCAATACAGACAGTGCAGTGCCTTATCAAATGTCTGCAGTGAAAAGCCTAATGCGGGAGAAATTACTCAAATCGGATTAGATCAATCGGCCCCATTTTCCCTGAACACTAAAACATGATCTTTTTTCAGAGAGTATTTTATTTCTGACACCTAATAAAAAGCCAGTTCTGGGGTTTCTTAAAATAAACCTGAAAATCACGCTTACCGCAAAGAAAAAAGATGTTAATTTAAACACTTGTTACCGTTTTTGTATCAATTTTCGGTGCTCATTGGTCGAAAACAATTAGGAACCTCTGTAAAATATGTCGATCAAACTCAGAAATGGAGTTTCATATCTTAATGAATCATCATCTAAGCGGCCCGGAGACGTAAAATCGTCATGAATCGTGATGGCCCCGGTCATGATAAAACGTTCACAGGACCAATTATGCGATTTGTGAGTATTATGACAAACTTTAGTTTACTATTTCTAATACCGATTTCTTTTAAACATTCCGTCTGAAATTAGTCAATTCCTTTTTTAAATCAGATATCTCTGTTTTTTGCTAGACTTCCGTACGAGTCTATTGTTATTCCCAGTTACTACCTAATTTTACGTGACGTAACATATATGGCTAGCAGGATATATTTAATGATTTCTTTAAAGGATGAGGGGACCTTAGAATTTACTTTCAAATATTCGCGTTTAAGTCCTGTGAAAGTGTGTAGAATCAAAAAATACGCCGGACTGTGAAATCGATAATTCGTGCAATATCACGCCGCGCTCCTATTGGCTGATAGCAATTTTGGGCTGTGACGTCAATTATGTGTAAGACCAACGTGCGCGCACACCCTTCGCTCGTGTCAACATTTTGTCCTGTTCTGTTTTACTTACGTCGTGTTACCTTTGGCGTTTGCGAGAGCGGTATCTTTGGTTGCACTGAATTAGTCTAAGTTACGAATAATTCTCTTTAATAGTTAAATGTAACTCAGAAAGGCTTTCTTGTAGTTGTAGTAGGTATTTCTATTTATAAATAGCTAAGATAAGTAGCATCCGCTAACTAAACCACAAACTGCTATTTTGTTTTGACTTGTTTGAAACCCGATATGGACACAATTAAAAATCGGCATATTTCTTTATACAAGAATAAAGGAATGTATTTTCATATGAAATGTGCGACGAACAATATTAAATCAAGTGTTGCAATCGGCAGAGCACAATCAAATCAAGTGTTGCAATTGGCAGAGCACAATACATATGAAATAGAAGATATGTTGACCGACCCACTTAATATATGTTTAGCTTTTCCGAAACTTGTTCGTTTAGTGATTTAAATCCGACATATTTGCCTGACTTGCTGGGGTACATTCTGCGGATAACTCTCACCACACACTGTGGTAGTCTGAAGCGCCGTCCTTTACCCAGTCCGTTCAGCTCCAGTATCCCAAAGAATGTTCTGTAAGCAGCGAAACGGTATAGCCTGTTCCTTTTCTCAACATCATCCTTTTCCGGGAACTCCTTCCGATTCACAGAATATGCGATGAGTTCTAAAACAGACTCGTCGCAAATTGACGCAAAAGACACTCTTTATATTTATAGTGAAAAAGCTTTCAAATGAACAAACTTTTAAGACAGCAAAGCGCCGCAACAGAAGATCTAAAAATCGATTGAATGTATGATGTAGTAGAATACATTTTACTAGCTGGCCCTTGGCGCCTCTAGTCCTATCTGAGTGCGCACGTGCGGTTTGGCACTGCGCGTGTACCGGCCTTTAGTTGTACACTCATTTATAATTTACCGTTTTAGTTTGCTGTGACTTGAGTGTAAAGCGTAACGAATGTGGATGTGTTCGTCTGCTATGCTTGGTATAATATTGCTTGGTGTAATAGTTGCAAATCTTGCTTACGTTATAAATAGTGTCACATAGTGAGTTAGAACTTAAAAGCTTGGTGCTTGGTGCTTGTCCAACTGGAATGAAGACATGCATTTCATACCTACCCGATCCGTTTTTATTAGGACCGTGTTGTGTTGATATGACATGTTGATATATCAACTGTGGTACGATACAAGGAGTTGCTAGGTGTTACGTTGGGAGCTATAAATATACATAATTTACATGCCTTTCTGTGTGACTTCAATCTTATTTCAGGTGTATCTCGGCTCATGGTTATCGTAGGGTGATAATTCTTTTTTCAACCGGTCATAAAAAGTCTCCTCTCCATTGGTTATAGGCTTGTTAGTATTGTAAATTGTTTATGTATTCTTAATTAGTAATTTAGTCAGCCCGCACGCTCATTTTACCTGTATTTCTATATGCGCGGATCAGAGCAACTCACATAATTGACGTCACAGGTTCAAATTGTTTTGGCTGGATATCTCGGCGCGCGAATGAAATACAACTTTGCGGATTTCACTAAAGTGGTTTTTACGATTAATGTAATAATATGATTTGCACGAGAAAAAAACTTTTTCTAAGGTCCCCTCATCCTTTAAGAATTTTTTATCAGCGCATTCTTCGAGAGTTCTTGTCATTGACAAAAGAATGCCACAAGGCTGAATATTACCATGCTAATATTAATTTTCGCCGTATTTTCGGGTTCAGCAGTACATACTGAACTATGATCTGTGCTATTCAGTGGTATGGAAGATACTGCTATAATTCAGTTAAAATGAAGGCTCCAAATCAATCATCTGATCAGTTCATGTCAATAAATAATCATCAGTGTCAGTTTGTAGGTTTGGGTAGATTTATTGCGATGGTCACTATGGTGACGCCCCCAAACAAAGTCTAGAGCCCAGATATTTTGGTGAAAAGTCGTGGAATTTTGGGTGGTGGAAATCGACTTTCAATAGAAATATTTATTGTGCTAAACGATCAAAGTGTTGTATTGTGGTAGGCGTATTAGTGTTCTAACCTTCAGATATCTAGAATCTAGATATTGGGATATTTTATTTTTTCATCCTGTAAATCGGAAGTAACCGTTTCACCCTCAGGCTATATGTTATCTTAATAGAAACATGGTTTTTAGGAACTTCTTGGCCCAATATAACAAAAATCTGTATTTTACTTGATTTGCAAAACGAAAATGAGGTTTTCGCTGATTGCTCGTAAAAATGAACTTTTTATGGTAACGGTTTCTTTACAGCTCGTTCAAAAATGTGCCAACTGCAGTCGTTTCTAGTTTACAGTTACCATTTATGATTTAGCCTGCTATATATTCCACTAAAAAGTTTGTAAGGTCCCAAGGTAGAGTTTTTTAAATTTTCTCCAAAAGCTAAAGAGATATAACCACAAAGTAAATTTCCAGATACAACAAGAAACGCCGCCGCTTTTCTTTTGTGGATGGCCGCTCAATTTCCCGATCCGTTATGGCGTATTTTATCATATTCCATATTACCTGGATACACCAGGCTTTAGCATGCAGATATGGCGGAATGACAGGGAGAGTGCCGCCCAGCTAATTCCTTATTAATTTTGAAAATCGTGTATATTTCTATGCAGCCCTATGTTTATTGTTTATGCAACCCGAAATACAGTCCCAAGCAGCTGAGCCCATAGATTTTTGTCGTTGTTTTTATTTGGTTTAGGGTTTTTTTCCGCCGGCGTCATCTTATTGTCCCTAACAAAAGAGGTCTTGTCATTGCCAAAACGGTACCATACAACTGGCTACTACCAAACTAAAAACTAATTTTTGGAACCAGGATATGTACTAGTGACATGATATTTAGCAGTTTTAGTGAACGGCTCCACCTCCATAAGCTGATCAGCAGATCACATATCACCAAATATCTGCTACTTTATTAAATCATGTTCAAATTTAGGTTGTAGGTTTGGGTTAGATTTAGTCGTATGAATCAATCGGTGATCACACCTGGTTAGAAGTGGCGTCATCATGTTGGGTAATCCGGCTTTGCTTTAAACTATTACACAAACCACGGGACAACGTCGTACAACGAACCCAAATACTGCGGTATAAATAGTGAATAACCTTATACAGTACGCAGTGACGCACTCACGTTTTCAAGGCGCATATTCGACGTGCATCGGTCTAAGTGACTAAATTATGTTCTCATCGCATTCATCACTAATCATTGCCCACTTACCTCGGTCACATACTTCAAAATATATCTGATCCCGTTATCATAATTCACCATTTGACCTCTGCTCTTGGGTATCGAGTATACCGGACGAGTTAAACTAGATAGAATGCTGAATAATTCTCTCATTTAGATAAGATGACGGTTAACGCTGAAGAACCAGACACAGAAACGAGACCATGCAGCCAGAGACAGAAACACAAGAACATGACCATCTCGACCCTGATCCTCTGCCTCTCGCTAGGCTCCTACTTCCTCGCAACTTCACTCCAAAACGTAGCCATAACGGACAGTTCTGACCTCAGGCCCACAGTCGGGTACATAAGCGGAGGTGCATACTACGCATCATCTGCAATAGGAGCCATCCTCTTTCCCGTCGTAAACCGTCTGATGAACAGGAAAATACTAACAATAGTCTCACTTTTCTCCTACCTCATGTTCTACGCTTCAATGTTCCTGCTGAAGGAGTGGGCTATCTATCTGGGAGCGGTTCTCTCTGGGGTGGGTGGTTCGTTTCTCTTCATTCTCTCCCTCAAATCTATAGCTGACAACTCCCCAATCAAACACTTGCAGAGAAACATGGCTATTTTCTGGGCTGCTGTCTCCGTCGCTAACATTGTAAACAATTTAGTGAACTACTTCTACATCCTTCATCTTGCCACAATCACTGATACCATCAGAATAACAGTTTATGGGACACTGGCGGGACTCTGTGTCATTGCAATGTTCCTGGCACTGTTAGGGGATAAGGAAGAGGTGAAGAAAGAAGAGAAACCTAAGTGCGAAGTGTATGGACAGATAACGGCAGATGGGGAGCTAAGGATTGACGTTGATAGAATACCGAATAACAGTGATGTTAACAAAAAAGGAGTAGATAAGGCTGCTTGTATCACCACTGATACTGAGAACATCAAGAAAAAAATCAAAGAGAAGTTGAAGTTTTTGATTAAACTATTTAGAAGAAGGTCTGTTTGGATCATCATAGTTTACCAATTCTTCTCCGGGACCACCTGGGGTTATCTCCAAAAAGCCTTACCAGTCTCCATCAGCGTCACATTTACAGACAGGTCCGTGATAAACCTCTCAGGTCTGGTAATCGGAATTTGCACGTTAGTCGGCGCACTGGGCTTCAAGACGTTGCGAGACCTGTCCAGCAATACTCTGTGCACGATAGTGATGATGATCATGTCTGTGTGTGCTTGTGTGTTGTCCTTTCTGGTGTTCCAGAACAATGCAAACACCACTCTCGACCCTACTGGCTCTGTCTACATCAACCCCGAGACTTATCACGTGGTAATTATATCCGTCCTTCTCTCCCTCACTGATACCGGATTCAACGTTCTGGGCTTCGCTGTAGCTCCACTGATGTTCGACGGGGACACGGCTACCGCTTTCTCCTTCCTTGACACCACTTTCTGCATCGGAAACGGCGTCATGATTACACTGGCTGGATTTATTGAATTGCACGCTTATCTTCTATTGTTAGCAGTGTTGACAATTGTAACGGGACTTGGTTACATTATAGGGCTCAGAAAGTACATAATTCAGTTGTAGTTATAGATTGTGTTATAGGGAGTGTTGACCCTCAAATTTTAGTTTATAGAGATACTTTTAGTTAAGGGACCATTCACATATTGCCGTATTACGTAATTCGATTTGCACACTGTATCTCGACCAAAACTGTATATCGTCATGCAAGGCGATATAGGGTTGTCGAGATACAGTGTATGTCGAGATACAGTGTGGTTACCCGTGATTCAGTTCTTGACCTTTTCAGACCCTCCTCTCCCCACTTAACACATAGCTGTTGTGTGGACATTGCAAAGCTTTTCCAAACTTAGCGTAATATGTGAACAATCCCTAAGTAGTCTACAGCATGTTTTAAATGGGTTAAATAATTTAGTGTGTGCATTTCTAAAGCTATTGATGTTGTTTGGCCCTTGAGGGGTTTATGAGTAGACGAGCATATTTTTTTATTTGAACGGAACCTCAATTTAATGGTGTTAACTTGGTCATTAACTGAATTATTGAGATTTTATTTGAATTATTAATGACATAAATCTAATTATTTGTTGACAGAATTTGTCAAATAACAACAAAAATAATGCATTTAAGGACATTATCAAACTCACTTTACTGACAAGATGTAAGAATCATCTCGTTGGCTTTGCCTAACTAGGAAAGTCGAGGGAAGAGTGTGGATAAGTTTACTTTCAGCTTCAGATCGACCCAAGTACCCGAAATACCACCTGGAAAAAGGAGGAACTACAATTTCATACATACTTAAAACACCTAAATCTTTGAATCTACTGAATAACCTAGAAAGTGGTAACACACATTAAGTTCTTCGTGCTTGAGTTAAATTACGTCACGCGGTACGTTAATTAAGTAAGGCACGATATTCAATGAAGAAGTAAGCGCGCGCGCGCGCAAAATGTGACTTGAAGTTGTGTTGTCTATCTTCTATTCCATCAAAAGAATTTTACCGCGCCGTACAACTTCTAATATATTATAATGTGACCGGGCGAAGTTCGCGACAGAACACATTAATTAGGCACGGTAATTAGTAATAGCTAATCACTTTTGTTGGGTGATGTCTTTGACTTGGTCGTACTGTATTTGAGTCGCATCGCAAGCTTCAAAGTGTGGAATTGATGAGCTCGTTCGTGAATTAGTCACAGTCTTCTTATTCTGAAATTATTAAATAAGTCAGAAAGCAGATAATGTTACAAAAACTTAATTTTTACTTTAGGCGACATTCTGTTTACAAAAAAGCCTTCTTTTCATACCGGATAAAAGATTACCTTACAAGACATTTTTGTGGCGGACCAATTTGCGACGACCGAAATTTTGGCGGTCCGAAAATATGGCGAAATTGAACAAAAACCGTCACATTTCGGACGTCACAGAAAATAAGGGTATTTTTCATCATTTTGTTTTCTGACACAAAGGAAATTCAAAATTTTCTAAAAATCGGTAAAATCATGTTGAAACAAAATGAAACTTATAAATCCATTTCTTCATCTTCCTCTAAGGGGTCCGGCTCGACTCTTTCAGTTTCACTTATTAAGTTTGGTATTAAATTGTTTATCTTGACTTAGTCTCTTATAAGACGTTTATGTTAGCACATAAATGTAATTTATTGTAAATTTAAACGTATTACTTGACATTAAATTCATCATGGAATATTGTGTTTATTTGTCCCACCATCATATCACTAACTTTTTAAGAACAAAATGAATCGATGAAGCCACAATTATTGGAATAAGCTAAAAATAATGCGACGGATTCTATTACGACGACCGAAATATTGGCGGTCCGAAAATATGGCGAAATTTCGGGAAAACCGTCGCATTTCGTACGTTATGAAAATGTCTTGTAAGGTAAGAGGTCAATTTCATGGACAATAAAATAATTTATGTTTGAAAAGAAACGTACTTTATTCGAGTTGTAGTGCCATATTCCGTCATATGTTCCCCTGTTATTCATGTTGTCAGAAAGGACACTGAAATTGAAGGGAATTTCAAATCACTGAAAAAAAAGGAGTTTAAATCACAATATCAGACGTCCGTTAAGAATAAATTGCCACACTTCATCATGACAATTTAGCAATTTGTCCTAGTCAGTAGTCAGTAGTCATACATACTCATATATTTAAGGAAAGTTCTCAACATTCCGTCTTAACATTCCTTCCAAGAGTGAGTGGATACAAGCTAGTCAGTACAGAACAGCTTAAATCCCCGCTGTAGAACAGAAAACATAGTAAACTACCATTTAATTATATAACCACTATTCTAGAACTGCCGTTATCTAAAATACCTTTTGAGAGAAGTAGGAGGGTTATCAAGATTTTCATAACAAGGTCGTTTCTTGTCCACGTTAATGTAAGTATCAGTGTTATAGTACGATATCTCTATCTCATCGTTGTTTTTTCTTTCTCGCAACACGTAATTAGGATTTATCACGGGTTCCACGGACTTACACCGCTCTGAAGTAATACTCATAATAATTACCTTGATCTTACAATGGGGGTGTACGCTAATTAAATTTTATGAAGTTTCATCAGATTATAATTACCTTTTCTGCATAGAAACACAAAGGACAGCCCGGCAATGATATCTATAGCATGTACTGTTTAAACATTAATAGCTCTGGGTATTCTGGAATTGTTAGTTGTCAGGTGATAAATAAGGATGGTTGGCAAATATGAGTAATTCTGGGCTGTTCTAGAACTGTTGTTAGGGTGGTACTAAAGTTATGGGATCTCCAGAATTATTTTCTTCCAGATCATTCTGGAACAAATTCCCTCAGAACGTCAAGAACTTGGAGAAAAATCTTACGTGATAATATGTGAACGATCCCTTAAGGGCCAGGACGGGGAGTCAAGAATGTAAACTAGGATGGTCGTCACAGCATTGAGCAGGGAGTAACGCTGTAAACGTTAAAATTGAGTAGAAAACAACTCTTCTGGCCTGTCTGCTACTCGATTAAAAGTGCCTCAACTTAGCTTAGTGTAGCACTAGTTCAATAGTTATTACTAGATATAAACCTATTTTCTACACGTCGCATTTTACATGTTCACAAGGTCCCTGCGCTAATAACTTATGAAACTTGAGTGCCTCAAATCTTAAATTTAACATAGCACTGTTATGTCAATGTAAATAAGTAACAAGTCGTGATCATATACACACATATGTTTAATAGATACCACATAACGTTTAATACGCAAAGGAAACGACATTTATGTAACATGTTATTAAATAATACTAGGCATATTTGTGACTGACATATTTTTGACTTCTCTCGTAGCTAAGACTCTTAATAGAATGGTGCTTAATAGGATCCAGCCGGCTATAGAGGGGGTACTTAGGGACACGCAGAATGGTTTTCGGGAAGGACGGTCCACTACTAGTCACATCTTGGCACTCAGAAGGATTCTAGAGGGGGCTAGACAGAGAAATTTACCGGTAGCTATGGTGTTTGTTGATTTTAAGAAGGCCTTTGATTCACTTCACCGGGGAATTTTGATGCAAATACTAAAGGCCTATGGAATACCGGACAGTATTGTAGATATCATTAATCTTCTCTATGTCAACACGAAGGGCAAAGTTATAACACCAGATGGGGATACCGAGCTATTTGATATCCTGGCAGGAGTTCTTCAAGGGGATACACTAGCACCATACTTGTTCATTATAGCCCTTGACTATTGCATGAGACAAGCCTTAAGCAAGCATCCTGAAATAGGATTTACCATTAAGCCTTATCGGAGTAGGAGAGTCAAGGCGGAGAAGATAACAGACACTGGTTTTGCAGATGACATTGCTCTGATAGCAGATACTGTAAAGGAGGCAGAGATGCTGATGCTAGAGGTAGAAAGAGTTGCTGCTACAGTGGGACTTAAAATGAATGAAGGGAAAACCAAATTCATTACTCAGAACATCGAGAACCCCGATACCATCAAGTCCCTGGGTAACAACACAATAGAGCACGTGGAAGACTTTACCTATCTTGGTTCTAGAATCAGAGACAGTGAGAGTGATATCAGGGTTAGGAAAGGAAGAGCATGGGGAGCATGCCACACTCTCAAAAAACTTTGGAAATCTAACCTTAGAAAGTCTATCAAGACCAGAGTGTTCACAGCACTAGTCGAGTCGGTGCTTCTATACGGTTCTGAGACTTGGACTATGACGAAAAGGCTGGAGAAGATGGTTGATGGTTGCTATACACGAATGTTAAGAATGGCCCTTAACATCAATCAATATCGAGACCATGTCAGCAACCACAGTCTGTATGGTGATCTTCCTAAAGTCAGCTCCAAGATAACCCAACGAAGGCTCAGACTTGCAGGTCATGCTCACCGACATCCGGAGCTGACACTGAACAAACTGATCCTCTGGAAGCCGAGTCATGGGCATACTAACAGGGGGCGACCTTACCTAACACTACTAAATAACCTAAAAGCAGATACTGGGCTGAAATCAGTAGATGAGATAGCTAGACTGATGGAGGACAGAAAGCTGTGGAGAACTGTTGTCAATGGATCTCGGGAATACTACCCGCCTTAAGTCAAGTCAGTAAGTCATATTTGTTATTGAGACTTCTTGGCAGCACGAGCAACCAGTATGTTATTTTACAAACTGATCTGTTAATTTAAGCACTTACTTTATTTTACAACTGATAATTTACAGTGATAAACTGATTAAGATCTACATAGGTACAATGTACAGGGTGTTCACGATACATTGATACGGTTTTGGATATCTTTAGATTGGTTAATGATGGAGCAATCAGCTATATTTAGCGCTTATTTGCTTTATACATCAGTTACAATTTTGTTACCACTACAGTCCAGATATCAAAACTTTGATGTATTTCTCGAAATTTCGTGTATTGTGATAAAAGTCTTTTTAAGAAAAAAAACAATGGGAACAATGTTCGAAATGTCGAGAAATATGTCAAAGTTTTGATATCTGAACTGGTTGTAACAACATTGTAACCGGTGTGCAATGAAAACGAGCGCTAATTATCACTGATCGCTCCTTTATAGATTAACCTTCAAATGTTTAAACTTTAATACCGTACCAATATATCGTGAACACCCTGTTATTATGTTCAGTGTTTACAATATCTGGCAATCACGTAGATCATACGACAAAGGAAACTGCTCTTTTTTCTGTTCAACATTAAATAAAGTTATATTATTAAGCTGTGTTAGTAAATACAAATTATATCAACAAAGTAGTAGTATTTAAAAGTAAATAGCAGTATAACTGAGTATAAGTTATTTTAGTAAAACTACTAACCTCCTTCGTCAATGCACATATATTGAGTATTGGCAATGTCTCCATCAGAATGGTTGGGCCTATCTGGTGAATAAAATCATCATAACATGGGAAAGGAAACACAGTATTTACTGCCCCGCTCATATGAGACAAATATTAGTCTGATGTTAACTAATTGGGGCTAAACTAAACGAGTACCATGCCATAGTGGCTATCCAAAATAAAATAATAACTTAAATATATCAATAAGAGGTCACCTCAGACGAATTTAACTGTGCAATTATAGCTATTACGGTCAAGTTGATACCATTCTTAATCATTTCGATTGTCGAGCAATTATTCAATTCAGTTATCTTCAAATCTTAACGACTAACCTTGTGAGCTTTTCTTCTTTCTAGTGAAGATCCTTTTGAGCATGTCCTAAAATATCGGAAGAAAAATTAATATAATTATTGCAAATAATATCATTTTTTTTTTCAAGAAAACATTCATAAATTGGTTATAAAATATCGGAGTTTATAGTTATTGGTAAATGATTTGAATATTGTACTCTAGTTTATCAATAAATTTCAAATCGCAAACCGTTTTATACCAGAATGAAGCAACAAATGTGATTATTAATATTATAAAAAGAGCAAATCAATTGTTAAAAACAGTTAAAATACACTAATTTATAAGAATCATCGAAGAGGAAAATCTGTTTTCAGGATCAACGAAGTAGTAGGTAAAATGTTCTTTCTTTGAAAATAAATAGTTTTATTTCCTTCAAAAAATTACTGTCATGACGAGGATCATGTCACTGATAAATTAGCATTATATTTATAGCATTATATCAGGTTAAAATCTCCCCCTCTTCCTCTGGCTCTGCAGGCAAAGAATTCACATCTGTTGAGCATGCTTCACCATCTGACTGATTTTCTTGCTCATCACCAAAAAGTGCCAGAACACTGTTTTTAAATGAATTACTCTTTGTATCTGATGTTTTCTCACGCTCTTTCAAATCGTCACACTTGCCAACTTCCACTTTCTTGCTATCATCTTCGCCTGCAGTGTTGTTATTTTGATTCCTCCCTTTCTTCTGTCTTTTGTATGAGCGTCTTCTGTTGTTCCTCTTTCTCTTGCCATCATTCAGCAATCCCAGTTTTGTCAACTCTGCTCTCACATCCAATGCTTTACACTCCACTGCCTTAAAGGAAGCTGGTTTTGTAGTGATGAATATGGTAGGGTACTCGATGACAGTTTTGAACTTCAGAGATTCCATGATTGTCAAATCTGGGTCAAGCAAATGAAATGTGTTTGTATCACCATCTGCTTGAACGAAATATGAAACATCTGGATCACTTTTGAAGTACATGCTCACAAATCGATATTCTGAGTGGGGTGCAGAATCACTTTTATATGTTTCAATCAGATCTGTAATTTTCAATGTTTCGGAGATATCATGAGCTAGAAGTTTCTGGCTCCGGTCAGAGAAGATTAATTCTACAGTCCATCTTATGACATCATCTTTAAAATGGGTCTTGTTCAGCTTATGCCGAGAAAAGGTAACAGGCATGAACTTAATGATCGTTTCATTTGTAAGGCACTTCTTTTTGATCATCCCCCTGGCATTTTGACCATTAAAATTGGGAACAAGCTGCCTATGAGAGTTATCTATCGACTCTTTGATATTTTCCAAAAACTTGTAATCTGATATTAGCTGAATGTTATCAAAATCTGACAGTTTTACAAATGATGCTTTATCTGCAACACCGCTGCAACTTTTTTCAACTTTATGAGCTTTAACACATTCCAGACTACACGTTCTCTGTCTACACTTTGGACAGCAGTATTTACTTTCTTTCCCACAGCTACACAACTCAACCATAGTTTACTTGAATTGCCTGTAAAAATATTTTCATTAAGTTTTGTAACACTATTTAAGTCTGTAATAAAGCCATTATGGGTGGCTCTTAAGTCTTTTAAACAAGAGTGTAATTCCTAAACACTAGCTATGTGCTAATTAAGTGGCTGACATAGAGGCCTGAGGTGGTTCTAAAATGGCCAAAAAATAAAAATAATTGTTTGTATTAATTAAGTTAGGACTGTGTCATAACCACCCTAAAAATATGAACATAATTTTTCACATTGTGTGACAGAGCCGCTGGAGACAAACAACTGACAAAAAATGGATCCAAATCAGACCTCTTGTTCCTGAGATGGCGCCCCACAGTTTGATGTTAACCAGTTATTACTAGTAAAACTGGAACTTTAAGACGGCACACAACACATCACGTAATTTATTACGAGATGGAGTCTTTGTTCTAACTAGATGGCACTTTCTGAGTAATAATTAAATATTTTATTTTACAAATTTATATCAGATCGAACCTATATTTGATAATCGAACCTATATTCGATAGTTCAGTTAAACAAAAATTTCAGTTGAACAAAAATTTCAATTTTATGCCATTTATTACAGATTAAACAAGTTTACAATAAATCAATTTGATATTTAACGGAATCCTAATTCAATGTGCAGTATGGTTGTCACTCTTTAAATAGATTAGATATAGGTTGACGGGGCAAAGGAGTGTGCGTGCTGTTCGCTATTGCTCACACCAAACGGCAACCTAGTAAATGTTTTGTATGAACACCGGTCTCCATCACGACACAAAATTAGGATTGTAGAATTTATTGTATAACTATTAGTGCAGTGGAGGTAGCGGTGTGGTGCATTAATAGAGTGACAGCCTACTGATTTAGAGTTGTTTTTAAGTGAGCATAATGGGTGTATTTTTGGATCTAATGGCAACTTTAAAATTTGTTCTTTTAATCATTTATTAAATATCAGTTTAAAAATATATAAATCTGGAATCTGTTCACTCTGTGAACCAGTCCTAAAAAAAAATTCCAAAAACCCTCCTAAATTAAATATTAAAAACGTCTCAGTAATTGAAATAGTCATACAATTAAGAAATTATCCAAATTCTTAATATCTACCTAAGAGAAAAATACCTACCTAAGTCAGTTTCTACCTGTAGTACACTAAATATTAGGTTAAATACATAGGTGGTGGAGTCAGCACACATTTACCAAAATCAAAATTGTTTAATAGGAGGAGCCTGTGGGCCGAGATCACTGGATTAAATTTGATGAAGGGGATTGTTTTCAAATGACAGCTGCATTATGTCATAATCGCTTGTGGTCCATGCCGAATCATTATAAGCATGTTGCAGCTTTAGAAGTGCCTTTTTCAGGCGACTTTTAGCAAGGCTAATCTTGTAGGAGTAGTCAAAGAGCTTGAGTTTAGGTGCAATTGTGTTCCAAATTTTGGTGGATCTTGATATAAAGTCATTAGATGGGAGTTGTGAAATGATAGTGGTTTCCTTTCTAGAAGATGACTGATAATGCTGTTGCAGTGATGCTGTTGCAGTGATGCTGGGCACCTTAGTTTTAGTATTTTAAAAACTTCCATAAATGTGTGATATGTATATAAATTTTTGAAAGCCAGGATGTTTTGTTGCTTGAAAAGTGGTTTACAGTGCTCTAGTTGGAAGAATGTATGGTCAAGTGCCTGGCTGTCAAACTCTCTTGTTCTTGCACATGTAAGGAACTTAGCTTGTTTAGGTATGCCTCTTTATCACCAAAGAGGACCCGTACACAGTGCTTCTGAGACAGCCAGATACTTGCTGTCCTAAAGAGTGCTGCATCACCCCAAACTGAGATACAATATGTGAGGTGGGATTCAAATAGTGTGTGGTAGAGGTCTTTATGGAGTTCCTTTGGTACAGAGTCCCTAATTCTATTTAAGGTGGCAGAGGCATAGTTTAACTTTCGTTTAAGTGCTGTTATATGAGGCCCCCAGGAAAGCTGTTCGTCAATAACAACTCCAAGAAACTTAGTTGCTTTGGTTTTTTTAATTGGAAAGCCATCAATATGGAGTTGAAGCGAATCTGGCAATTCTACTGGTTTACTAGCCTTTGGTTTAAAATGCATATAACAGCACTTTGACATGTTGATGTGAAGTTTGTTAAGGATCATATACTTTTTTATACAGCTTAGCAATTTGTTGCCTTTCTCATAAGCTTCTTCTACAGTTTTTCCATCAATAAAAATGTTGGTGTCGTCAGCAAATAGTATGAAGGTTCCTAAATCCGAAGAATTGGCAATATCATTTATGTATAGAAGAAAAAGGAGCGGTCCCAAAACAGAGCCTTGTGGAACTCCATATTTAATGATAAGGTTTTCGGATTTTTCATTAAGGACTTCTGTATACTGTGTTCTATTTGATAAGTAGCTTTTAATAAGACAGTTTGCATTGCCTCTTATTCCATACCTATCTAGTTTTGTTAGGAGTGTACTATGGTCGATTGTATCAAATGCTTTACTCAAATCTATAAATATTCCTAGAACATGGTTTCGTTTTTTTATGCTATCTTCAATAATCCTAACAGAGTAGTTAACAGCATGGCTAGTAGAATGGGACTTGCGGAAGCCAAATTGGTTTTCATCAAGGATATTTTGTGACAGAGCGAAACTGTAGATACGGCTGTATATCACTTTTTCAAATATCTTACCAAATATAGGCAGTGTAGAGACAGGTCTGTAGTTTCCTACATCCTCTTGGTTTCCTTTCTTAAATATGGGAGTAACTTTCCCAACTTTCAAAACATCAGGAAATACCCCGCTCATCATGAGTTTGTTGAAATGTTGGGCTAAAACAGGGCAGATTAAATGAGCTGACTTTTTGATTATACGGATCGGAATATCACTAGATTTGCCATTTTCCAACTTGGAAATTATTTCCATGAGCTCAGTATGTGAACAGTCAGATAGGAATATAGAGTTATTGTTGGATGGCAGGAGGTAGTCTTCAAATGTTGAAAATTCAGAAGCCTGTATAGGCAGGTCAGCTATTGATTCATTTAGAGTGGAGGCAATTGAGTTAAAGTATTTGTTGAACTCGTTTGCAATAACCCTTCTATCTGTTATTTTTCTGTTGTCGATTATAAATGAGGGTTTTATAGTCTTTTTACACTTCCCTCTAAGTTCATTAATGATCTGCCATGTCTTCTTACGGTCGTGCTTATTTTCTATGATTTGGTTGCAAGAGTAAGTATTTTTTGCAGAGTTAATTACAGATTTGAGGATCCTTCGGTATACTTTGAAGGTTTGTTCGAGAACATGGTCTCCATCAGGGTTTGCCTTAGTTTTAGATGTAATCCAGTTATCTTTTAATTCATGTTTTTTTTTCAACGGCTGCTGAGATACTATCTGTTATCCAGGGGTTATTGATAGGATTCCGTTTAGTAGTTTTTGGCTTTACAAGTTTGCATGTTGCATCAAGTACACGATCAAATAATTTAGTAAAATCCGAGAATTCATGAGAAGTGTGGAGCTTTGAGAGGTCAGTGTTCAGTAGGGTTAGGAATTTATTAAGGTTGGCATTACTGAAGTCGTAGTACTGGACATGTTTTTCACTTTTTGGACCAACCTCAAATTCGATGTCAGTGAATTCAAATGTTGGAGCATGGTCACCAATTCTATCTGTTATACAACCTGAGAGAACACAGTTACCAGGGTCATTCGTGAGGATGTTGTCAATACAAGATGGTTTGCAATTTGGTCTCTCATGTGTAGGTATCGAAATAACGGGAGCGAAACCATTTCTAAATAAGCATTCTTCAAAAAGAGTATAGTTGCCATGACCAGCATCACCATTCACTTTAAGAAGGTCAACATTAAAGTCCCCCATTATACGTACACCAGATTTAGGGAGGAGTTTACATATGTGATCAAATGACTTAAGGAAATTATGAATGTCACCATTAGGAGGGCGATAGATGACCCCTGAGATGAGTGTGAGCTTGCTGGATGATTGAGTGATCTTAACAAAGATTGATTCAATATCAGGCGTGCAGTAGCCAAGATTTTCTATGACTTCTGCATTAAGGTGATTTGCTACATACAGGGCAACACCAGTCCCTTTCAGCTTGTTCTCCTGAGTGACCTGATAAAAACTGTTGTATTGCGGTATTCTGTATAGTTCTTTAAGAGGTTCATCTGTGTTTGTTTCAGCGATACCAATTACAGAGAAATTTAGTTCAATCCGTTTGAGTTCAACATTAAGACAATCGAAGTTGGTTTTGTTACCATCTAAGTTGACAAAGTAGGATGTGAATTTTGAGTGTGTGGATGAAGGATTACATGAGTTTTGAAGCTCCCTGACTACCCTATTAAGATCAGTTGTAGAGTAGCTCTGACATTGGTCTAGAACATTCGAAATTTTTTGAATAGTTTCGTCATCACATCCACCTTCATCATCGTAGAATTTATCACCACCATCACTAATCATCCCAGAGAAGGGGTTGTAGCGTGGTATCACGTTCAGTGAACAAACCTTACATACCCATAGACCATTGGTGGGGCAGAAACCTGCTACTTTAAAACATTTAGTATGAATAGCTGTCCGACAGGCTTCACATTCCAGTAGGGGCTGCCCAATGTTGATGGGCCTTGAGCATGGCTCACAGACCTCCTTAATTAATTTCATGATCATAGTTATGTGTCGGTTAGGTTGGACCAGTGGATCCAACCCTCTGTGCTGACTCCCTAGACACCTTTTCCTTCAGAAACACACAGTTTTTCATGTGGCTTACAAACTTAGCTAAACCTCTACTTCCTAAGTGAATCGTGTCGTTACCCCTAGTGAACTTAACCGATAATAGCTTATTGTTATCTAAAAAACCATACATACCCTGAAACCAAATATTAGGAAAACAGTTCTTTATCATCTCCTGTACCAAGTTGTTGTAGAGCATTATATTTTTATTCATTTCATGGATTCTTGATGGTAAAACAGGTACAACAAAAATGTTAGTAAGTGGACACAATTGACGTATTTCAGTTA